GTAACTTTAATTGAATTTAGCTAAATTTATACTATATTTATCCCAAATTTATACCGTTTTTTGAGGGTTGCGGGCGTCTATAGTACGATGTGTAAGCAATCGGGTAGACAGCAGCCTCTATCTTCTCCCGCAGATTGACATGAACTTTGCCTCGTGGAGCTCTCGCGGAGGATGGAAGGAGAACGCCTATGTGATTAGGCCCGGTCCCTTCTGCAGAAGTATCCCACTTCACGACCCCGGTCTCTGGCGCAGAGTGATGGCCGCAACGTTTGACGATCCGAATCGCAAGTGCCCGTTTTCTGCAGTACGTAAGAATAATTAGCAGCCGCAAGTGCCAAGAAACATGTAAATCACATTTTGTGCTTACTTTGTGCGACGTATTCTAACCTGGTAACTTTCCATTTCAGAATTACTATGAAATTAAAAATGTTTCTACGGAATTTTCGTTTAAAAAGGTTCCTGTATTCTTTTACGGCACCTGGAGAGTTACCTTACGTATGGTTACAGGGCCGACACCAAGAGCGTGCTTTCGGTTATTCGGGAAAACCGTCCCTAAATCTTTAAACATTAAACAATAATTTTCAGATCCAGATTTGTTTCTGTTCATTATTATTTTCTGTCTAACAAACTCTCACATCTCTGCGCTTCGCTTCTTCCCGCCTCAAGACACGAACTGCGGTCGCGCGCGCCAGCCCAACTGTCCCTTCTTCGGCAGGCGGCTACACGATGACACTGGGTTTCGATGCTTGTTTGAATCATCTGGCGCGACACCTGGAAGAGGGGAAGAAGAGCCATCTGTGGACCGGGGGTCGGCAACGACGTTGGCGTGACGTCTGACTGACGACATCTTCGTACACGTAGGGGCACAAATTTGTGAATTTCAAATGATAATTCCGAGGATGATTCTCATCTAACCCCGTTAAGTGTACGCAACATTCACACACTTGCGTTTCCAGTGCATGCACTTCGTAAAACATAGTTGTACGTTTACGTGATAATTTTGCATGATGTATTTAGCGTGTTACTTTTTGAATAAAAGTTACATCAAATGTTCTAAACTTACGAGGACATAGGGTTTGGGTTGATTGTGGTGGGTGAATTGCATACGTTCCGAATATTTCGTGTCCCAATTAAGGCACGTGGACCTGTCAACACGACGACGTCATCGTGCGATTCTTTTTATAGCGTTTGCGTGCCTTGACCGAATGTTGTTTAGTGCAGCGGCGACACAATAGAGGACTCGACAATCTCGATGTGACGGTGATAGGTCGCCGGTGCTGCTCCGGGCCGCAGTCCAGCGTCCACCATGACAACTACTAGTGTGTCATGGTGCACCCTGATGTTGCTGCTCTTCGCCGGGTTTCGATCGAGGACGCTGGCGGTGTCACGCTTCAATAACGTTGCCGTGCGTGTGTGAGCCTTGTTACACGTCTAGACAAGTGTAGAGAGCATTCGTGTCACGCTATAAATATTTTTTTCCTGATATCTTTTCTTGATGTGATATTTTTTGAGGATTGTAACTGTTTTTTTTTATTCGAGTGAAGTGTGAAGTACTGCGATGCGCCGTGTTGGTTTGTTCACCAGGGCCCATATCGACTCATCCCCGACCACGCCGAGCGCTGCCCTGTGAGCGAGGGCGGCGCTGGCCCTTTGTACAAGGACATCTTCTGGCGCGGCTACCACGACCGTAACAACGTGAACCTGTGGCACTACTGGATCAACTTCACGACCCTTGACAATTTTGATGACTCGTATGATGTAAGGGACGCAGAGGAGTTTATGCAATAATTGCCTGCAATGCAACTTGCTAGAAGGTTAGCGCTCTTAACTGCATGCAGTTTTCGATTTTGCTGTGCTGCCTGGTACGTTTTACCACATTCCTAGTTGGTTCCTATTTTACTAGACTGTCTGGTACATCTGCTACCAAAATCCTAGTAACAGCAATCAGTATTCGTTTTCACAGTGCTGCTCTGTGTTCTTCATGCAGATTGATTTGAACTACGCCTCGTGGAGCTCTCGCGGCGGGTGGAAGGAGAATGCCTATGTGATTAGGCCGGGTTCCTACTGTAGAAGTATTCCCCTTCACGACCCCGAGCTCTGGCGCAGAGCGATGATCGCCACGTTTAACGACCCGAATCGGAAGTGCCCGTTCCCCGCAGTAAGTAAGAATTGGCAGCTGCAAAGTATGCGACAGTAAAAGGACTATTCGCTGTGCCATTTTGCGCCACTACGAAAGTTTTTTTTTTTATCCTGATAACTTTCGATTGCAGGGTTACTACGAAATAAAAAATATTTCGACTGAATTTTCGTTTAAAAATGTTCCTGTATTTTTCTACGGCACCTGGAGAATCACTGTACGTATGCTCAAGGCGCAGACCGCAAGAGCGTGCTTTCGGTTTTTCGGGAAAACTGTCCCTAAATAATATCAAACCCATTAAACGATGATGTATTTATTTCAAAGTCTTGGTTTTTATTTTCTTATATTTTTTTTTTAGCAGATGATACCTTACAGTTAGCTTACAAAGACTAAACATCATGGTATACGTGAGCAAAATGTAAGGTGTCATCAGAGATAACTCTCTTGTAATGAAAGAGGAAAGGACAGAGAACTCATCCTTATATCTTGGGACAGGCGGGGGTGTCCCTAACAAAATTAACTGCACTATGCTTGTACATTTACATAAAACTAATTCCAAGTAGTTGCTGTTGTAGGCCAATCCGATGTTACCCGAATAGCGCAAGTTTCGCGAGGGGTGAAATCGAGTGGTATGACCTCCAATATGGCACGCGCGTACTATTTAGCGACCAATTTTCTTCAATGGCCGTTAGGCCAAAAGTGGTGCGATGGCATCTTGACATCTTGACATCTTGACATCCTGACGCCTAAAAGGCACAGCGCGGGACGGGCGTGAATGCTGCTAGGCGCTGTTCAATAAGCAAGCCAGTCCAGAGGCAATAGAAAGAAAGCCGCAACGAGGCGGCACACACGTCATGCTCAACTTGAGCGTTAAGTGGAGACAGTGGCAGACTGTTAAGCGGGACAGCATGGTCGCCCTGCTGATTTCCGCGTTCCTCGCCGCGGCCACCGCGGCGTCGTCGTCTCTGCCCGTCGTCGTGGACGTGTCGCCCTCCCCCGAGGCCAGGAGCGCCGCGGCGCTGCTGGCGGCGTTCCTACCGCCCCACCGGGCCGGCGTGGTGGTGGCGGCGGGCCGGGTGCGCTGGGCCGATGACTTCCTGGGCGCCCTGCCCCAGGAGACCCCGCGGGTGGTGGTGACCGATCTGTCGTTCTACGACGAGGCCGACAGCTTGGCCCATGCCGTACAGGTGAGGCACAACATCCTGATGGTCATGGTGGACAGCCCCGAAGACCTGGCCGTCGAAAAGTTTCATCATGCGGCGATCAGTTTTCGACGAGTCTTGTTGTGGTGCTCCACCACGCAGCCTGCGCACAAGATCCTCGAGAACGAGACGTTTTTGAACCATGTTACAAGCAGAAGGTTGTGCTCCCACCAGACGACTCTTGCTCTGTCCAATGCTGACGGCACCACGACTTTGTACGCCCTTGGTAATACTCGCGGCTGCCTGGACGAACGGTTCCAAGAGCTGGACCGCTGGGCGCCTGCGGACCAGCGCTGGCTGCAAGGGGCCGCTCCGTTCCACCCGTTCTGCGGCAAGTGGCGGCCCCCGCGCTCACCCAAAGCGCCCCTCAATTTGTTCGTGTTGGCGCTGAATTATTCCGAATCTCCTTTGTTCAAACTGTCGTTCGATTTGCACAGTAAAATTAAACTGCCTTGGAAAGTAAAACTTGTCGATATTTTGGTGGACAAAACTGTATCTAGGGGCCAAGCCATCACGCTTGCGCCGATATTGCTCCACACTGAACAATGTCGGCTGGATGGGGTTCTCGTCAACAGACCGATGACAGGAGTTACCGGCTGCGACGAACTAACGGGGTTGTTGAGTTCAGAGCCGTACGGAATTGCGGTCTTCGTCCCAGCCGGCCTCGGCCCCGCTGTTAACCTCCTGGACGCCGTCCTGGCGGAGTTTTCCCCGGCGGTGTGGCTGGGCACGGCGCTGGCTGCGCTGAGCACCGCGGCCGCCCTGGCCTGCACCCTCCGCCGGGACCGCGGCGCGGCGCTACTGCTGGCCCTGGCGCCCCTGCTGGCTCAGGCCCCGGGGACGCTCCCGCCGGCGGGCCACGCGCTGCGGCCGCTGCTCGGCCTGTGGCTGCTCGTGTGCGTCGTGCTGGTGGCCGCCTACCAGGGGCTGCTGCTGGGCAAGCTGTCAACGGCGCAGCCTCGCGGGGAGATCAACAGCCTGCAGGACCTGGAGGCCAGCGGGCTGCCCGTCGTCGTGGGGCCCGAATCGTTTGACTTCGTCGAGCCCCTGATCCCGGACGAGTTGTACGGCCGGGTCGAAATCTTCCAGTTTCTCGACGCCAACGTGGTGATATCCAACAACGTGGTGCTCGCCAGGAACTGCGCCGTCATCACCTCCCTGGACAGGGACCTGAGCAGGGACATCCAGGTGTGGCTGTCACCCAAGAAGAAGCTGCACTTCTTCTTGGTGGGCGCGAGACACACTACCACGGTGGGCTACTGGCACCGTGGGTCGCCGGTGGGCGAGGCGATCACTACGATCGTGGGGCGGACGCAGTCGGCCGGGCTGCTGGAGCACTACCACTCGCTGCGGGACGACCAGGAGAGGCTCGCCATGGCCAAGTACACCACTTCCCTGGGCATCGCTCGCCCTCTAAGCCTGCGTCAGATGTGCCCTGCGTTCCTCTTTCTCGGCGGCGGCCTCGTCCTGGGCGCGGCTTCCTTCGTCGTCGAGGTGTTGGTGACTCGGTTGTTGACGGCTAGCTGCGAGAGATTCCGCGCCTCGCTGCTCTTCGGGTAGTGCGCCGGTAGGAAAATTCGTAGAAACGGTAACCAGATTTCAAATTTTCTCATCAGACATACCTTAAATAATGTATAGCAATGCTAGTAAATGGTTCATTTAAGGGTGACTTTTAAATTTTTATATCACGTTAGTTCTCTTGTCCTAATTCCCTAATCTGCCTTCAAACCTCGCTTCAAACGATGACCGCTCGTCTTGGATCACACCTCACCGCACATCTATCGATTTGAACACTTGCCCGCAAGTCTGAATTTGGTACACCTGTAATTACACAACTTGTTGAACACAGCTAGCTGAATACCTATGCAAGTGTTGACTGGTTGCACACATTTATGTCTGTACTGTTTTTCTTTTAAACCCTACAAATAATTGCTAAATATGGAAGGAATGGAATGTAGAACACAGCAGTACTCTTAAACTTTTACCGTTTCCGTAAGAAAAAAACGAAAGCAGCTTTCGCCGAATTGAAATGTTTCCCGACTTGATAATTTCATACCTCGATCGATACACGGTCATTAGTCAAGATCCTCGGTCGGACGGACGGACAGCGGACGTGGTCGGAAGGAATATGATTACCACATCTCTCTCGGCTTCTGGCTTCGCGCGTCTGGAAGAGGAGGCTGTTTGAGGTGGGGGAGGCCGGCGGCGTCTCGGTGGCCAGCCGAATAACGCACTTTTGTGGCAGCTTTTAAGCAAATTGAGATTGATCTCGGCACTCAATACCCTCCTCCTCTCCCGCCCCCGCCGTGCCGGCTGTG